GCGGTCGGTAGGGAGATAGAGCCGTTAGTGATGGATGGAAAATGGTGATGGGGGGTGGTGGATGGGGATAAGTTGGGCACTCGGTGTTTAGAGGCAGTGTGACGAGTAGCAAAGTGATTGGGGTTGACGCACTCGACTTTTACATTGTGAGACGCTCGGAGGTCCTTATTCTTTTGGAGCTCGAGAAATGCGAGATAGCTCTTATAGGTACGCTTTGGCGTGTTAGTCTTCCTTGTTCCTAATGATTCGGGTGCAAAAAGGGTCTCTTACCAATGATCAGATAATAGTCAATTTTGCCGGCCATCCTTATTCATTAGTGGGTTATTTGCATAATAGATACACAATGGTGTGCCTTCCCAAACATTACCCTGGATGATTTATGAGAATAAGGGTTGTCTAAATCCCAAGGTGTTCTCATGCAGGGGCCCGGGATAGGGAGAACCTCGGCAGCCCCACATCGGGACGGCCCCCGACAGCGTGTACATACTCCGTCCGGCCTTACGAACTCCGGCTGATCACTAATCCACATTGTCCAACCTCAATGCCGGAGTGACCCACCATTCGGGGATCAACTCACCGGATTCACTATGATATGAAGCTTCTGTCCGATACCAGTTGAAGAAGTATCCCAAACACGACTTACACAGAACCTCTTTCCATCACCTACCTATTCATCTCAGCATGACGTCTCGTAGGGTAGCTCTTGTAGTCGGCGCTTCACGGGGCATTGGCCGGCAGATTGCCGTTGACCTAACCAAAGAAGGATACGCTGGTAAGCATCATCTCCTACCCTCTCCAAGTCCCAACCCCTAACTCCCAGAACCACACTCTAACCCGCCACCCACCAAGTCGTCGTCGCCGCAAAGTCCACCACTCCTGAAGCCGACCTCGCCAAGATGTCCCCCTTCCCACCAGACCCCAAGTCCCCCCTCTCCACCATAACCACCGTTGCCCGTGAAATTGCCCTCGCCGGTGGTGAAGCAACCGCCATCCCCGTCGACACAACCAACTACGACAGCATCCAGCAGCTAGTCACCAAAACCATCGAGGTAGCCCCCCCATCCCCACCCTTCCCTGCTTTCCCAAACCCCCCACCACCACTAACGTCCTCCCCAGACCTACAACCGCCTCGACATCCTAATCTACAACGCCGGCGCCATCTGGTGGGCGCCCGTAGCCGCCACACCCATGAAGCGGTTCCAACTAATGCAGCGGGTGAACCCGGAGGGTCTGTACGGCGCCGTGCAGGCCGCGCTGCCCTATCTCAACCCCGCGGACGAAAGGGGACGGAAGGCTAGGGAGAGGGCTGGCGGCGGGGCACGGATCGTGGTGGTGTGTCCGCCGATCTATAGTCGGTTTTTTAGGGGCAAGACGGCGTATGCGATGGGGAAGGTGGGGATGAGTGTGTTGGTGAAGGGGTTGGCGATGGATTTGGAGAGGGAGGGGGTTGTGGGTGGGGAGGGCGGTGATGAGGGAGGCGTGGGGATTGGGGGGTTGTGGCCGGCTGTTGTGAGTTCTCTGCTTTTTTTGTTTCTTTGTTGTTTGTTTAAGCGGAGGAAGGAGAGGGGAGGGGGAGGGGGGAGGGGGGGGGAAAGGCTCTGGCCTCGTCCAGTACTTGGTGCGAAGATTCCGGCTAACATGTTACTGTCTAGGCTGTCGAGTCTGCGGCGACAGAGCAGTTTACGCGCAAAGATCCGTCCTACACCAAGGACTTGCGCAAGGCCACCATCTTCTCAGATGCGGTTCTTGCCATGATCAAGGCCCCGGCATCCGTCATGAACGGCCAGCTAGAGCTAGACGAGGATTTCCTGAGGAAACAAGCGGGTGTCACTGACTTCTCCAAATATGCCGTTGTCCCGGGGACGTCACCAAGGAGGATCGTGCCGGCTGAACTGCCGGATTTGACGGTCAAGGAGCAAGAGGATGAAGGAATGAGGACTGATAGTTCCAAGCTTTGATTATGAGGCCATTCCGGCCGCCGTACTTGGTTGAGCAGGGTATTTCTCTGCAACGAGTGGTATGAACTCAAGCTGGCTATCTGTGTTGTTTAGACGCCGAGCAAAGATGTGTTCAAACGCCCCTGACCCCCCGTGAGCTGGTCAAAGTATCAAGCGGAGATGGTCTCAGCCCACCCCCTGAGTGTCGGAGGTCAACCCCATTTCTAGATTGCGCAAACTTGCAATTGGCGGTACTGTGTACCGAAATGTGTTACTAGCTGTGACTTTTGTGATTATGGTTAATTACCATGGGTTCAGGGGGAACGGCAAAGTGTGGTGAGGCTGTGTTCCGTCGAGCCCTCTGCCCCTTGCTAGGAGCGGCTTCAACCTCGTCAACCCGGAGTGGTCGGGTCGTTAGGTCCTCGATCACCGGAAAATTGACCCGCTGAGGTTTCCAAGACATAGCGTTGTCTGCCTCCAGCCGCTTGAACATCTTCCTATCGCTTGTCGGGGTTTGTAGCCACCTGTGGTAGAAGACCTGGCGCGCTGTTGGTCTTCTTTCGCTGTCATAAGCCAGACAGCTGCAGATAAAACTCTGGCCAGCGTCAGAGATCAGGCCTTGAGGCTCGAGGACAGCAAAGATGGTGCCAAGGTACGTGTCGACGTCCTCCTGGCTCTCGAAAACCACCGAGTCGAGACCTGGAAGCTCCTCGTACCCTAGAACCAACTGCAACGTCAGCATGCCCACCGCCCAGATGTCGACTGATAAACCGTGACCCTGCCCTGGAGTATCACATTCACTGTAAGTAGGTAGTTAGATTGGGCTCTGTAAAGTCGAAATGCAACTTACGGGGGCCGATAGAACCGAGTTCCGACCTTGGATTTCAATCTTCTAGGGCCGGCAAGGCCTGAATCTCCAAAGTCCGAGAGCATGATGCGATACGGGACCTGAGGTGTCACCCCGCACAGGATATTCTCCAGTTTTATATCTCGGTGTGCGACGCCTTTACTGTGGATATAGGAGACACCTTGGAGAACCTGCCGGATAATAGACCGGGCCCCCCACTCGTTCAACTTGTTGTATCTCAAAAGCAGCGAGTAGAGATCTCCTCCTGTTGCTAGTTCCGTGATTACGTATCTGTTGGAGAGTTAGCTCCTGGGCACTCTGCGGTGGTGCTGGGGGGTAGCATACATCGTGTGCTCTGTCTCAAATGCTGCCTTGATGGGGAGGATATTTGGCTAAATAGTCAGAAAGATTGGGCAAAATGATATCGTCATATTCATACGTGGTCCAGTGTGCTCAACAACGATGCCTCTTGGCGAATCCTTTCCACTGCTTTGGATGCTCGGGAGTATTTGCTGATGTCGTGGACTTTGCAAACGACATGATTCCCAGTTTCCACATCTGCAGCCAGAAAAACAATGGCATGAGCACCATCACCAATGGTGCGATCAGTCACGATAAATCGGTCCTTGAACAGCTACGGGTCATGTCAGAGGAGTACAAAACTCGAGTAAAAAGGAAATAATTTCCTACCTCAACTTCCCGGCGCTGGAGTTGACTCAGGGTGTACGAAGGGTGCCGGTTGTGCGAAGTCAGGAACAGGGTGTACTCGAACCTTAGGTGAGGATACCCTCCGATAGTAATCGTATCTCCATCTTCGAGCAATCTCGATGGGGAAAGCGCCGCTCCCCTTCCGATGAGTTGGCCGTTCACAGCAGTCCCATTCGAGGACCCGCGATCACGCACGAAAACAAGCGGCGGGTGGTCATATTGCTCATCAACGACGATGGAAAATATTTCCAGCTGGCACCTTGACACCACAAGGTCTGCAAATGCGACATGATTTCTAGTCTCGTCCCGGCCAACGAGGATGGTCTTGTTTGGGAGAACTAGAAAAAAACCTGGAGTGGATGCGTCAGAATTCCACGGCGGACTGAATCACACACATCGCTTTAGACGCAGACCTAGCGACGCAAGAAGCGGCAAGGGGAGCTTGAAGGGAATCAAGCTGAATCCCGCTCTTAGTGATTGATGATTCTTACCTCCACTGGGCGGGTCACTGATCTTATTCTCCCACGTAATCTTCCCAATAGCCGGCGATGACATAGGAATAATACTTTTGGGCTTCGGCGATCAAAGTCGGGGAATACATGCACATTCAAGGTTGGTAAATGAAGTTGATCAGATTTGGAATTGACATTCTAGGCAAGGTTTTTAAAACCATTAACAGTATTTGCTTGAACTTCTAGGATTTACCAATTTAAAAATTCTCAGTCGAGCCTCTCAGGCAGTGAGAACAGCAGTCGAGGAAGGAGCGCAGCTGGTAGCTATTATGTGTTTAGTTTGCGCTTGCTCTGGAGTTGAAGCTCTGGTGGGATGCCCCACATCGTTCCCCTGGAACGGAAGGAGCTTGGGCCGGAAATGGCTTGGCAATAGTTGCGTCACCTGACTTACCCCACAGGGCTGCTTGCCCTCTGCCCTAGTTTGTTTAAGTCTACTTCCCCTCCCGAAAATCGATCTTGTTCTTTTTCTTAAACCATCACGCAAATTCTCATCAAGAAGTCATATGTAGGTACACCCCCAACAGCGACACTTCCAGCCTCATACTGACCCTGAATAGTCACGATGAGAGCGAAGTGGAGAAAAAAGCGCGTTCGTCGCCTCAAGCGCAAGAGAAGAAAGATGAGAGCGAGATCGTAAGTTTTGCCACCATGACGACGAGTGTTGGTTACATGGGTCACTGACAGCTCCCAAGCAAATAAACGCCCGAACCTACTCGACCTCAACCAGTCCCCAACATCAAGTTGGTCACCCAGTGGATTGAGCACTGCGATAATACCGACTGTCGCATCGAACGCTTCCCCACTGTTTGACGCCGTCCGTAACCAAGCGACCCAAGAAGCATCGGCAGCACGAGAGCTTTCAACTTCCTGTCTTCCCTTTACGGCAAGGCACTTTGGCAACTGGCTGGGATGCGCGGCACGGAACGGTTCGGTGGTATCATGAATTATGGTAATGATTGGTTGCCCGTCAATGAAGGTTGAGCTGGACAAAGGCGTTTACTGGGACTCGGGCAAGCTATGCCTCGATAGGATTGCGAATCCGGAATCATGATTTGCAGGAATTGACGACGCTTGGCTTCGAGATCAGCGAGCACCATGTGCTTCCTTGTGACTCCTGACCTATTTTCTTGCTTGCTTTGACTGCCATGGACATGCTGGGGATGCGGAAGCTATTCGACTTGGATGTGACCTGGACCAGAGCTTTCAGAGCTCGGAGCTAGACAACGCAACACCATTGGCGAAATTGGTTCATTTCTGTTAAACTACGAAGTTGCCAGGCCATTGGTTTATGAAATCCAACCTGTCTCCTAATTTTTCTCGTGTCGTAGTCTCAAATGCGGAATTCGCACTTGTCATGTGCGTTTTGGTTTGGAGCTTCGATAATATAGTGGGGGTGTGGAGGATGGGCCAAGGCGGTGAGATAACAACGGGTCCGGCCGCTGGCAGAAAAAAAAGTTACCGGGGCGTCCCCCTCGACTAACAAATACGACGGGCCAGCACGTTGCGATTTCGAGTCGCTATTTTGCACAAAGTCAACAAGCAAACACAATGCCGGGGTCAGCAATGAAGAAACGGCCGAGGCCGGAGGAGGATACGCAGGCGACAAAGAAGAAGGTCGACTTTCAAGGAGGGAAACAGGCCGTGGCACATTCATTTTCAGTTACCAAATTGCGAAAGCCGCAGGTGTCTCCTCCTGTAGTAGGTGAGGCGCTCTCAAATGACCCGACTTTCTCGCGCAAAGAAAACACAAAAAAAGCTGACGCAAAATATAGCCCTCACGCCCGGAATCTCTCTTTCCGACTCCTTTCCCTTCAATGTATACGAAAAAGACGAACAACCGGCTGTCAAGCGGCGAAAGGGCAGCAACCCGCCTCCGCTTGCCGAGATGGCATTGCACTCCTCGGCGCACAGGACGGTAGATTACACGGCTCGGGAGGAGAGGTGGAAGAGTGTGGATACTCTCCTAAACCACTTCCTTGCCGTCATTGACCCGCAGACTGGAGAGGTAGAAGTCATTCAAGCCAAAAAAATGGTGGTCAGGGGGACAGCCCGGTCGAAGCAAGCACCGGCGGAGGCGATGGAAGTATCCAGCGGCAAACCGGTACGACCTAGACTTGGTATTACCATTTGGGTTTGGACTCAAACACTGACGGTTTTGCAGACGCACTCGGCAGATGAAGAATGGGAACTGGGCGAAAACGTTTCGGCACAAAGTAATGGCAAAGTAATGGCGATCCAATGCCCGTCGCAGAAAATTGCCGAGCTTTGCTTGCCCAACTTCACGCGGCAAGCTGGGCGAAGACGATCGCGCCCTCGTGTACACCATCCGAGAATCTAGCCAACATATGGCCACCCGCGAGGAGTTGCAAGCGGCTGTCGACTTGGCCAGACCTGTGCCGCGGGGCAATTTCGATGCAGACGAGATCCAAGACGTCTATGTCCCGGCAGAAATCATTGGCGCCGAGGTACTCAATGCGATTCCGGTCATGGATTGGCAAGAACAAGTCAGGAACTCGGAACCGGTGCAGGTCCCTGCTCGCTTCGTTGCGCACCGTATCGTTCGTGTGGCTGGCAATGAGGATGACGTGCAGAGGCTGAAGCTCCTGCGTTATCTCCTCTGGGTTATCACCCTCTGGACGACAACAAAACCAGGCCGGGAACGTGGTACAAAGAGCATAGCAAGGAGAGACGACTTGCGGGAAACCCTTGCGCCGGCCCCCGAGGTGGTGATCGAGAACATTCGTCGCAAGTTTTCGGACAATGGAGTAATGCGCAAGGCGCACATTGACCTGCTTATGACGCACTGCTGCGTTTTTGCAAGCATTATCGACAATTTTGAGGTCAACACTCTGGATTTGAGGGAGGACCTGAAACTGGAGCAGAAGCAACTGAACCAGTACTTCCTGGAGATCGGTGCTCGGGTGAAGCAGTCGAAGATTGGTGACAAGATCAACCACCTCGCCAAGCTGGCCCTACCACTGCAGTTTCCGAAGATGCGGCAACCAGCAAAACGGAGATGAGATGGTTTGGGTATTGCAGCGTTCATGAAACAATAGAGTACACATAAAGTACACACCATAATCGAGGCTCGTTGACACCCTTGGTTGGGGTTGCCAATGAGCGAGCCTCATAGGTTCAATGCTGGAAGGGGAATGGTGGGCCACCACTCACACCCAAAACCGGACTTAGCAGACTAACCAACGATATTTGACTTGCCGAGCTTCCTGCAACCCGGTGATGAGCTACCAAGGTCACGAAAGAAATAAAATTGTAACACATCAAACCATGCCGACTCCTTTTACAACTTATTCCATGCAATCTGAGCCAGACCGGCCCAGTGAAGCCAGGGACTTTGCACACTACTCAAGTGAGCGGGGCCGGGAGGTTGCAAACCCCCCTCCGAGCCCCTCGTCTGAGCCCAACAACCAGCAACTCCCGGCGAGCACAGCGAACCCTGCAGTTCCAACTGCCCGCGCTTCGCACTTACCTACCACGGCAGGCAAAAAGACCGCTCCGGCCGGGGCTGTAGGGCTGACCGGAAGCCGGTTGCGATCCCCAACCCCCCTGGTCAGCGGCACCTTGAGCCGCATCGACCACGTGGAAACTTGGCTCTCCACAGCCCGCCGCCGGTCAAATCGCACACCATGACGCCATTAGTATTTCACAATAATCAGTTCGCGATGCGCTTGGAACGCGTTTTCAAGATGAGTATGCGACAACGAATTGCGAAAGCGCCGGTTCAACCTTTGGGTCACGGAAATTGCAAATATGGCAATCAAAAGCGCGTAGCCGAGTCTGTACTATCAAAGCACTTGCCTCACGTTTTGATGCATCATAGGTGTACAATCGCTGGTTTCCATTCGTGACGCGGTCGCTGTGATCGAAGTTGTCGGTCGTGAACCGCGATTTTTTGGAGGTGGTCATGAGGCGTTGCTGCCTGCAGGGGCACTAGGGCCCACTTTAACCCGCCGTCTCACGCTTGTGATTGGCTGCATCCCGAGAATTCGCAGCCAACCGGCCTGCGCGAAGCAGGAAGAACGCGCGAACCTCTCTCCCTCGCTCGCCTTTTGGTCGTGCTTCCGGCGCACTCCGTTTTCTCTTCCCTTAGCCCAGACCAAATCTGTATCGTCTTTTTCAACCGAGAGGAGAGGGCATAACCTTTTCTCCTTGCCACTTTTATATTGCCTGCGGCATTGTTTTTGTCTGGCCGACGACATTGCCGTTTCGCATCTTCTTTTTTAACGACTCCAACAGCGATCACCTCCCGTCCAGCGTGCCTTGGCAAATCGTCCCCAGCACACTGCTTCGACCAAGTTCGCCGTGTACACCTCCGCTAGCGACTGGATTTTCTCCGAAAACGGAATCAGCACTGCCCATCGTATTGTTTGACGAAATCATCGAGACCGTGGTGTAGGTGCACCCTCGCTATTGAATTGAAGGCCCCCCCTCTTCGTATCATTCACAAAATGCTTTTCCCGCATTGCCCGAGGAGTTCTCATTAACGCGCTATCAAAAGTTCCATCTTGTATTTATGATACGGACATCGCAGTGTTTTTGAAGACATTACCTGTGTCGATACCGGTCCTGCCAATTTTGTGCTTGTAGCCGTTCAAACCTTGTCATCCCGTCCGCGGTTTTGTCACTCTCGAGTGCTTCACCATGGTCTCGAAACGGAAACGCGATATCCTCGATGGATTCGACCCCAACAAGTCGGATTCCGAAGACGAGAACTTCGACCCTACCGAGGAGCGCCCGCGGCCCAGGAGTGCCAAGAAGTCACGCCAATCGAGGCCAAAAGGTCCGCGAAAGAAGTCCAACAAATACAGGGGATCTGACATCGACGATGACGATGAAGTCTCCGACAGTGGAAACGACGAATCTTTTGATGAAGAGGATGAGGAGGAGGAGGAGGAAGACGAGGATCTGCCTATGGGCGCGACTGGCAGAAGAATGAGAAAGGCAGCTGTCAAGCAACAATCCTACAAAGAGAGTAGTGAGGATGAAGAGGATGTGATCAAAGACTCGGATGGGGGTGACGATGACCCCGAGGATTCAACACCAAAGAAGCCAGCTGCCCGCCCTTCCAGAATCGTGGTTCTAAAAACGAACCCGCGGGCGCAGCGAGCATCAAAACGCGGGAAGGAAGAATCCGCCCCGCCTCAACCACCCGCTCGCCGGACCAGAGCTCGTACTGAGGAAGTAGACGAAACGTTTATGGAATTGTCAAATTCTGGAAGGCACGCAAGACCAGCACGCGCGTCGCGCAGCCGAAGCCCCGAAGCCATGGCTCGGACGATGCGCGCCAATCGAGGAGGGAAGGGAGTCAAGAAGCCGCCCGCTCCCATCGAAGAGGCGACACAAGAAACTGATCCCAAGGACGAGCCTGACCAAACTATGGATTCGCCGGATGAGCTTGCCCTTACTAAGCGTGAAGACGAGCCAGAGGATCAGGCCGGAGAAGAAAATGCCGCTCAGGCTGGGGAACAACCCGAGGATGCCGCCATGGAGGACCAGCAAGAAGAACCCGCTCAAATCGAGGCGCCGGAAGTAGAGGAGGACGATGACGATGATGCGCCCGTTACTCGACGAACTCGGGCCTCGAGAGCGAATGTCGGTGCGCCAGCTGCGGTCGAAGAGACTAACACCGAGCCGGAAACAACGAGAGGTGGCCGCCGTCTTAGACAGAGGCCGGGACTTCAAAACAAGAGCTTACAGGAGCCAAGCAGCGATTTCGAGCCTGGCGAAGAATCTGGCGAAGGCGAAGGCTCTGGCTCGGAAGCGGCGAAGAGTGACGTTGGCGGTGATAACGAATCCACTCCGACACCTCGGGGGCGTGGTTCTCGTGCTCAGAGCCGCCGGAGCCGCCGCAATAGGCAGGATTCTGGCGATGAAGAAGTGGAGCTCGATAAAGACGAAATGGCGGAAGAGCTTGAAGAACTGAGGGAGAGTTCCAGGTCACGCCCACGTCGCACTCGACGCCGATCCCCGTCAATTCAGTACGAGGAGCGGACTTCCAAAAAACGCCGCACAAAGCCGGTCGACTACAGCATCCCTGCGATTGACCCTGCCGCGCTCGAGGTTGAAGATGACGAGGAGCCGGTTGCGACGCCCGCAAGAAACCGCAGGGCGGGCAAAGGTGGTAGCAGCCTGGCATGGGAACGAACCCTCAATACCACGTATGGCCCCTTTGGTGGCGGCGGCGGAGCTGGAGCGTTGTTCGGAGGGCCTTGGGGGACTGGGGCAACAGGCGGGGTGGACTCCGATAGTAGTGACGACGAAATGGTCCAGCGGTCTGGTGTTGGTGGCACCGTTGGCATGACACCCACAACAGCTGCGCCGCCTGTCGGCCTCTTCAATACTGGTCAGAGCCATAACGCCGATGGCGTTGGAGGCATTGGAGGCGCCACGCCGCAGGTCGGCAAGGTCAAGAACCAGAAGGCATTTGCTGATGCCGACCCTCTTGGAGTGGACCTAACCGTCGACTTCAGCAAGGTCGGTGGCTTGCAGAGTCACATCGATCAGCTCAAGGAGATGGTTCAGCTCCCACTCCTTTACCCAGAGCTGTTTCTCAAGTTCCATGTAACCCCCCCTCGGGGTGTCTTGTTCCATGGCCCACCCGGCACAGGTAAAACCCTCCTTGCCAGAGCCCTCGCCAATTCAGTTGGCTCTGGCGGCCGCAAAATTAGCTTCTACATGCGCAAGGGAGCGGATGCCCTCAGCAAGTGGGTTGGTGAGGCCGAAAAGCAACTGCGGTTGCTGTTTGAGGAAGCGCGGAGAACGCAGCCCAGCATCATCTTCTTCGACGAGATCGACGGCCTTGCACCCGTGCGGTCAAGCAAACAAGAGCAAATCCACGCCAGCATCGTCTCGACACTCCTGGCGTTGATGGACGGCATGGATGGCCGTGGTCAAGTTATTGTCATCGGCGCAACCAACCGTCCCGATAACATCGATCCTGCGCTTCGTCGACCTGGGCGCTTCGATAGGGAGTTCTACTTCCCTCTGCCTGACTTCGAGGCGCGCCGGTCTATCATCGATATTCACACCAAAGACTGGGGCATTTCGGATGACTTCAAGAACGGCCTCGCGGAGAATACTAAGGGCTACGGAGGTGCCGACCTCCGGGCGCTTTCCACAGAAGCCGCTCTCAATGCCATCCAGAGAACATACCCGCAAATCTACGGCTCGAAAGAAAAGCTGATTGTGGACCCTGACAAGATCACAGTCCATGCGACCGACTTCATGATTTCGGTCAAAAAGATGGTTCCCTCCTCCGAGCGGTCAACCTCGTCGTCGGCCTCGCCGCTACCACGTCTAGTAGAGCCGCTCCTGAGAAATCAATACAGGGCCATTCTGAGGGTTTTGGATAATATCCTCCCGCGCCCCAAGAAGACCACTGCTCTCCAGGAAGCCATGTACGAGCCGTTTGAAGATGCGGACCATGGCTTCGGCAGGGAGGCGATGCACCAGGAGTTTGAGCGCTCGCGCATCTTTCGTCCCCGGCTTCTTATTTCCGGTGTGCCTGGGATAGGCCAAAATTATCTGGCGGCTGCTATTCTGCATCATCTAGAAGGGGTACATGTACAAACGATGGATCTCGCTACGCTGTTGGGCGACGGACGGGTAAGCATTCCCTTCTGGTTTTCGTGACAAGATTTGTGCTCACAACTTTATAGCCCATGGAACAGGTCATCGTTAGTCGGTTCACGGAAGTGAAGCGGCACAAGCCGAGCGTCATCTTCGTTCCGAGCGTCGACATATGGTGGAGCAGCATCACCGACGCAGCCATCACGACATTCACCACCTTGCTACGGAGCATACCACCCTCCGATCCCGTTCTTCTTCTGGCAACGTCTGAATGCATGCCCGAACAGTTGGCGCCCGAGATTCTCAAGGAGCTATTTGGCTTTTCCAAGAAGAACCGGGCCGTTGTCGAGCGCCCGGAGCGGGTATGTCAAGAAATATCATGAACAACCGGAACAACGCTAATTACTATGCTTTAGGAAAACCGACTCGAGTTCTTTGACAACATCATCGGTCATCTGAGGAAGTCCCCAATCGACTTCCAGATCCTGCCATCCCAGAAGCGGGTTATCGGAAGAAACTCCCAATTGCACCACCGCCGCCGCGAGAGTTCTAACCAAGGAAGAGATCCAAGCTCAACGCAAGCTTGATTTGCACTCCCTCAACTTTTGAAAATGCGTCTGCAACCGATCATGGACCAGATTCACCGCAAGTACCGGAAATTCAGGCAACCAGTGATTCCCTTCGCGCAGATAGCGTATCTATTCGACGAAGCCGACCCAAATTTCGTCCGTCCCGATATTGTCCAGACCGAAAACAGGCCGTACGAGATCGCGAAGGACAAGGAAGGCACTGAAGGTATTCGGGAGACGGCTACAGGGAAGTTCTTCTACAACCTAGAGAGCACCACCATCGAGGAGCGCTTGGCAAATGGCTACTACGCCAGACCCATCGACTTCTACAAGGACATCAATAGGTTGTACCTCGACGCCAAAAACTCGGGTGATCGAGACAGGACACTCAAGGCGAATGAGCTCCGCACCAACGTTGAGGTTGATGTGCATGACATTGGACAGACTCTTGCCAACCAAGGTATCAGGTTCGAGGAAATCTTCCAGAGGCAGCTGCAGAGGGTCAAGGAGGCGGAAGAGAAGGCCCGTAAGAGGAAGGCGCTGCAGCCCGTGGTTGATCTGATCCAATCCGATATTCCAGGCGATGGCGACAGTGACTCGCAAGGCCCAGTGGGTATCGGGCTTCCTCTGGCACAGGGCATGCGCACAACAACCGCAGCTAGATTCCAACCCATCATGAGCCCCGAGTACTTAATGGACATTCGGACATGACTGGCTCGCACCGGTTGACGAACGGCACGTCGGGGTCTCGACCTGAAGGCGAGGACGTTCACATGAGCGGTCTGGATGACGACACACAACCCATGCCTGACATGGCTTCGCCTCTTCAGTGGCCCCATATCGGAGGTCGCCCACCACTCGGAGACTCAACCAGGGCCACCGCAGGGACACAGTTCTCGCAACGTTCGGCCGTCACTTCGATCCCTCCGGGTGTATCTCCATCCGCCATTCTCAATGATGCCTCAACTACCAAAAACATCAGTAACTATCCACCAACCGCGGGGTCCGGGGAACTGGAGTACGCAGCGCGACGACACGCAGCGCACCAACGGTGGCACCGCGCACAACCTTAGACGATTCATCGCTGCTGCTGGACACTCAAGTGCACACCCAGAGACCTTGGGTCAGCACCAGAGCGGCCATTCGACCATTCTCAGCCAGTCAAGCTGCAAGTGGCAGGGAATGGGCGCATTCCCAAGCAGCCGCCATGGCCCAGGGGCATCCTTCAGCCCCGGGTGGGAATGGGGCTCCATGGGCCCGCCCCCAGGTAGCGGTGCTGCGTCTATTCGAGTTTCAGATGACAATATCCCCCTCATCCTCTCAAACAACGGCCCGGTCCCAAAAAAACCTCATCCAGCGGTGAGTAAGCAATTTCTCAAACGAAAGACCATCCATAGTAAACCACAGTTTTACCACCAAACGGGCAAGTGGCGGGTA